GTTGGTGGGGAGGGGACGCGAGCGTGCGTAAGGGAGGGTGTTGTGTCCTGGAGTGAGTGGAGTGATAATGAAATATTGGCATAAATGAGAGAGAGAGAGAGAGAGAGAGAGAGAGTGAAGAGGGTAAGAAAATAAACCGAGGGAACGAAGCGGAATTAGAGAAGGACGTGAGATTTAGCGTGGATAGCGGCATGCATTTGAGGCTGTTGGGGTCCCAAATTTGTTGGATGAAAAGTGGAGAAACATAGATAGTAAAAACTGACTTATTAAATGAAACTAACCCTATTATGCTCTAACTTATATTCATTGATAGGCCTAATTCCAATACCGATAAAAGAAACTATCACCCACAATTTATTTAAGTTTATAAAAACTTAATAATTCGTATGAGTTTTGTACGTTGTGGTGTTCCATGTTAGGAGGAATATGCCTATGTATACCTAAAAAAACTTGTTTGTTATTATTCTGCCTGAAACAAACATAATTTCATATTTCTGAGTTTATATACTTTTTACTTATAATATAAGACGTTTGCTGGCTCTACATCTTTACGGTATATTTTCTTAACAGAATTATACGAGGCATCGGTGTGATACTGTAGCTAGCATAAAATCTAATTGCCTAGCTTCAGATATCCAGAATCCGTTAACACAGCCGCCAGTGTACATAATGGTAAGTCATTATTCACTCAGTTTAGTTAAGGCGTCTGCATACACAACAGAATGCCCCGGGTTCGATTCCCGGTTGGGTTAACTTTTTTTTCACACTCGCAGATTCCTTTTCTTTAACTTCAAAATATGTTATATACTACAATCAATCAAACAATCAATCAATCAATTAACTAATCAATCAATCAATCAATAATTAGGCTTATTATACAGGTGTAACGGTGCTTTGGGAATTTACAACTTTTACGCAAAATAATAAATTGAATAGGAATCTGTATATTATAACTATTGTATTCTCTACAATATACAAATTATATATTATAATAGGCCTATTGATATTTGTACTGTAGGCCTTTATGTGTTTAGGAGACTCTCGCCTACAAGGAAGTATGTCAATTTGTTGTAGTCTCAATTGCTTTCAATTGTGCATTTTTGAGAGTAACAAGAGTTATTAAAATAACATTATAAAAATATATACTTGCCTCTATATATGCATATATAATCTTATATATTATTTCGATCCAAAATGGATGATGGAAACAGTGCTTAGCAGCAAATAAAATTTCAAATTGCTATAAAACTGACACCTAGGGTACTGTATGTTTAAAACCGCAATTAGACATACATATTTCAACAACATGAATATCGTTGAAACAAAAAATACAGCGAGCATAATATTGACTCTATGTTTAAGGATTAAAATTGTCTTTTCAGATACGTGCTAAAAACGAAGTTTGTTTCACACGTTCTTTGATTTCGGATTAAATTGAGCAAGATAAAATAGGGAATTAAATATTGATTTGTAAAAACAAACTGTTAAACACTTTAAAGTGTTTAGCTTTTCAAAAATTCTAAACTCTACAATTGGTCTTGCATTAGTTATATCCCTAATGGACCTTTTCGAAGTGTCAATCAAACTTAACAACTGACCAATTAGAACAGAGCCAAAATACGCGCGTGTCCTCAACAAGCACACGTGTTGTCCCACGCAAACGCACAATGTGATTGCGTATGTTATTACGCTGCCGTTTTGTGGGACCTTAACAACAATATCCAGGGGGCGGGGCTTAGCTGAAGGGTCCATTACCTATAATCGTCGAAACGCTGTAATTATTCACCTTTTTTCCCCTTTTTAAAAAAAAAAATAATCCAGAGAGGCGAATACATTTTAATTATAAATAACGAGAATGGTTAATGTTTTGCAGAGTTTAATTTATCAATTCAGCAAAAGAGAGTAAGATCAAGAGAGAGCAGTTTAGCCCAGTCGGCTAAACTGGTGGTAGCCACTGTGCGAGAGATCTCAGCTCTGGGTCCTTGGTTAAATTCCATCTGCTGCTCTTGAACAAGTTACGATAGTGCATCGTCTTTCGGATGAGACGTTTATCATTGTTCACGTGTGCATGTGCACGTAAAGAACGCAGTAGGCCTACACTACACTCTTCATAAAAGAGTAAGGGATTGTCTCTCGGTGTACAGCCCAATCACCACCAGAAGGACCACCCACTGGAAAAATCTTTTTTCTTGGTGTTTACACCGAACAAATCCATCCATCCAGACAAAGAAAATAATGGTGCATTAAATCCATACACATAACAAGAAGTAAATAGGCCCATGAAATATAGATAATTTAATGATAAAACCACAATGACTCAGTCTATGGCTTATAAGACATTAAATCTAACTAGAATTTAAATTAAACACATCAGGTCAATGGATGATCACACAGAGAAGACACCATGTCTGTACATCTGTGAATCATTCACAAGCCTACATACAGTAATTTCTTCTGATTAGAAAGATTTTATGTCTAACACGATAGCAATACTTTAAATTAATGAATATTTCTTATTCCACTTGATAACAGCATAAACAAAAGCAAACGTAAGTCATTTGTCCGATTTGAATAATTGTGCCACATACGGCGGTGAATATTTTTTGGGAAGGGTGCACCCCGCGCCCTGTCGAACATACACCAATCTGGCTCCCACAGAAAACGGAGGTGGATTCGTCTGCCGACGGTCGTACTACGCAGTGTGTCCGACTTAAATTACACGAGGACAGGGTCGTAGAAAGATTGTCACTGGGATGGGGATGCAAAACTGGGGTATGGGGTCGTCTAGAACCACTAAGAGGTCAAGGGGAAGAGCTGATTGGATCATCGCAGTTTTGGTGTGTCGGGGCTCCGATAGATTATTACTCTGATTTAGATGTAAAGATTTAAGATTCCTTTTTAAGTTTTATTACAGAAAATAACAACTTGGTTTATATTCATTTGACTGTCTTAAGAGTATGGACCTTTTTCGATTTGTGTGTGTGTGGTTGTGGGGGGGGGGGTGTCTGTGTGAGTGAGGTGCATAAGCATCCGTCGCACCCCCTGTATTCGGACCGCTAGGGTGCATGTTATACCGTACGATGGTGGTACTACCAAATGACTTTTCAGTCCTACATAGTTTCTAATGGAAAGAAATATGTTTAAGTAAAGTGTGCCGTAACCACAGCTCCGGAAGTTTTGCGACCTTGTGGTGTACACAATAAGGATTTTGCTTCCAATATCAGCTCTTTAATTATAATTACCTTCATTTCCTACACGGTCGTAGTCTACGTTTACGGTCGACTTTAATATCCTAAATTTCAGTAATAAGTTAAAGAGTAATACCGGTAATGGTTTGTAGGGTAGGGCTATGGTATATTTATCATTCAGAGGTATACTTACTCAGCAAAATAAAATACTTACATTACCTATATGAAAAATAACTTGCTGCTAGCACATATGACGCTCCACATACTGATAAACCCATTTGTTTCCTAAGCATTCATTACGATGTGTCTGCCATTTTTATTCTTTCTGTTCTTTTCACGTTTGAAATGCTACACTGTAAAACAGCGTAGAGGATTTAAACGCAAAACTCGACGAATGTTGTCCTGTCTTTGGTGACATTTTTAAAAGCTAAACGTGTTTAGGCAAGGCCTAATGTAAGTTTCTGACGTGTTGTGCATTAAATGTGCTTCGGTACTGTATTTGACATCATGAAGTCAAATACACAAAAGCACATTTAATTCTAAACACGTCAAGAACCTAAGCATATTAAGCTATGTCTAAACACGTTTAGCTTTTAAACGTGTCACCAAAGACGGGACAACATTACGTGGAGCTTTGCGTTTAAATCCCCCACGCTGTTTTTACAGTGTACTATTTGTTTTTACTGTTATTGCTATTTTAGAGTTATTGTTTTCTTTCCTAGCTTCTAGACCTGTAGAACCATGTATTTCTTGTCCATAAGTCGCTCTAAAAAATCTCAAGGATTTATTGACATAGAAACTACAGTATTTAACTTTTGATAGGCCTATAGTCTACCAATGGTTGACTGTTCAAATTGGTTATTTTGGCCTATTAAACAAAATTATAATTTTGTAAATATATAGTATAATTCTTTGTTTACGAGGTCTGTAGGCCTATTACAATTGCCTGATTTGGAATAAATATAGTTTGCTTTGTAATAATATTAATAATCTTTCATATATTCTAAACTATTTAATGTTTAGTAAAGTGCTTGAGTATATCTTCAATTACATGGTCTAAAATTGTACTTTTTTTCTCTCTCTCCAGAACAAGCCGGTGCAAGATAAAGTAAACAATGTAGGTCCTATTCAAGTTAGTCCACAGGAAATCCGTCTGTTAATAAGACCAGGTGCGTTATAAAGCATACTACTATGCCTATGATAGCTTGGTAGTTATTGAACAAAACATTTCAATTCCACGATTCTGGATACCGCTAACGTGTTTTGATTGATGCCGTTTCTGAAGCTCAGATCTAGAGCACTTTAAAGTTAAAAAAAAAAATACACCTTCGCGATCAAAGAAAACGACCCTTTAATAGGGTCCCTGGAATAGGGGCGTCCTATGGGTCCTCGGTGGCTTCTGTACTACATCAATCAAATGTTTTTACCTATAGCTAACCATGAAAAGTTGTTAGAGTTAAGCATAACGCATTACCCATACGCTACATAGCGATAAGAAAATCCTTGCATCCATAACAGATGTAAAACGTGTCGTAAAAGTATAACTCTCGTACAGTATAAAATGAGACTATTATATCAATTTATAGAGTACTGAATAAATAAATACAAACAAGAGCAATTCTCATCTCTATATTGAAATATCAACTCTCTCTTAATAATAAAATTCAGATTGATTGATTACGCCTATTTGTTGTAAAAATGAAACATATCTTATGTTTGAAAAAAAATATATATATATATAA